AGCATCTAAAATCAAAACAATGGCCGTAGCTGCTGACCATCTCCATTGACAATTTTACCTTGTAAAAAATTGTAAAACACACTTTAATCACCAAAACCATCTTTGTTAATCTTTCCAGCAATCTTCAACCCTAGTTTGGACAAAATAAACCCTTCATTAGTGCAGTAAAAATGCTTGATATTAAGTATGTTTTTTATTCATCATGGGCGCATGAAACACTTTAAAGTAACATATTTTATTTTTAATGTAGGTTCGCTTACTATAGCTTACTGTTCTTAATACCTTTATTTTGAAAACCGGAAGTGAATACGCTGGTTTCTCCGCATTTACCATAATGCTGAGAATACTTGTACACTCGAAATTTAAGTGCGGCTGATTTGACCACGGAGATCGGAGTAACGGCTGGCTTGACTGCAGTTATCATATCACAGTCATTATCTCGAGATCCGGGAAAACGGAGGAAATAAAATGTATGAATGCATGGCCCTTCAGGGCTTCCGTATTAAAGTGAACTCACTGAATCAGTGTATCTTTTAGCAGTGGAGCTCCTCCAACTGGCGACTAAAGCGCTGGTGTTGGACATGATACATAGTACATCACTTCATTAAAAGACCACAAATCCCAACTCTGTTGCCCAGCTACGGACTATCTAAACAGGGCTTGAAGAGCCTTGAACAGAACTGAGCTTGAACCAGCAATATACTAAACCTAAAGGACCAGTGTGTAGGATTCAGTAGCATCTAGCGGTAAAGTTACAAATTGCAGCCACTTGAATACAGCTCAGCCTCCAGGCATGTAGGAGAAACTACAGTGGATGCAAAGCTTTTGACAGACGTGAAAGGCCCTATCTGCAGCTGGTGTGTGCTTTGTCCAACTGTTAGAAACATGGCGGTTCAACATGGTGGACTCTGAAGAAGAATACCCGCTCCCTCTGTTGATAAAAACAGCTCATTCTAAGGCAACAAAAATGCAATGGTCCTTATTTTCAAGTGATTATACACTAATAAACACATACCTATAAAGCCCAGGTGGAAGTAAAAATGTTATATTGTATCCCTATTTATAAAAACTCAATTTCTTTGTAAGCATGAACTAAAAAGGGAACTAACTTCTCACAATGAACTGAAATGATTCAAATCAGCAAAGCAATCTGTAATGTCCACCTCCACCATTCACTTTAAATGTTCATATAAGCTATCATGACATTGTGTTTTCTACCCACCTGCTGTGTGTGCATCTTAGTTATTTATACATGGGAAATCTGTCTATAGGGTGAGTTTTATTTTGAAGTTTTCTGTGTCATATCTATTTCAGCGATATCTGGAAAAGGCTTAAAAGCTGTAAGTTAATTGGCACTAAAAGGTCCATGACTATCAAAAGTGATTGCTACACTAATATAGTATAATGTAATATAGCAATAACCGCTGCACTTACAACGGTAGAGCTTTAGTAGCCTAATGGTTGGTAAGGCTTGTTAGATAATGCTTACTCACTGCTTACTCTACATCTACGCTGATTTCCTCTGTGAGGCTTTTTCTACTGCCCACTAGGGACAAATTTGCTCTATAAATGACTCATGCCCCCCCCCAAACACACACACATCCTCACAAACACACATTTTAGACAGTCTAATATAGGTTGATTGCATTCAAGTGAGGCTTACTGTGACCGCTCTCTGTGGCCACTGTATTCCTCTCTGTGTTTTTTCCACATTAACTCAGTCAAAGTAATTGCCCCAGCAGAGAAGCAGAGAGACACAGAGGTGATTAGCCTGAACTAGTAACCCCTCACTTAACCATTCAGGTAAGAGGAGGAAACATGACTTTTGCTATTACACAAAGAAAATAAATGCATCTTAATGGAAAAAAATGGTGTGAAAAGAGAAAGATCTCCTCAGTAATAAGGCCTATGATCATATGCGCTGTTGTCTTCATAGCAGCTGATATACACAGTAAAGGACAATGAGAAAATACAGGTAAACAGGTTACTTACTCATAATATCTATATGTACACACAATGTGTGTGTCACAGGAGATGGGTGCATGGTGGTGGGCGCAAGGGTAAAGTACATGGTGAACACCGGTATCTAATCTGACTCACTGCACTGGTAAGATGTTGTTTAGAAAGCCCATAACTTCAGTAATTGTTTCTCATTCGTCACAAACACAGGGAGAAGATGTCCTGCCCACATGGAACAACTAAATGTACACACACAGCAAACATGCCTCATATGTGTGGTGGACGAAGCAATCCGATTCTTTACTCAAGTAAAAATAGCATTACTATGCGGTAAAAACCCAAACCAGCAACAAGGAATTTTCATTTTGTGTAGATTCTGGTGGCCCCTGCGGACAAAAGCGGTAGTGTTTCTACTGCCTCGTTTCATTGATTTCAAGGGGGAATCTGACCAGCATTACGAATAAATACATATGATGGTTTGTTTATGTAGGTGATATAGAGGCATGTTTCACAACCAGTGTAAAACTCCTTGTAGTACGTTTAAGTAAAAGTATCAAAAGGGAAAGGACTAATTATACATATAGCCCATGTAAAAGTATAGGATTATAAATACTGACACATTAAAGCAGTAGCTTAGTTCATCATTTTGCCGCTAGCAGCCTTTAGCTTAGTTTAGCATAAAGACTTATTATTATGTATAAAGGAGCATAAAATGGAAATACTTAGTATCTCAAAACTTGAGTACTTGAGCAAATGAGTACTCTTGCAGAAATCTGATTAATGACTACCAATGGTGTCCTCGAGCCTACAAGGAAGATTGAATGTTAAAAAACACTGGTTTGGCCCTTTCAGAGAAGGCAGGTCCCGGTTCACACTCCTCTCTGACCTGAAACAAACTATTTTTATCTCCATTCTCCAATTTTCCATCATTCCATGCTGTGATGATGATGATGTCTGTTTTCTTTAATGGGTGATCCATGTGCTGCCTGCGGGAGGTTACTCTTCACCCACCCTACTTATACACACACACAACACACACTCACTCATACCAGTACACACAAGGGCAAAGCAGTTAATCGATAAGGCTGTCGGTTATCCTCTAACGCCTCACAAGTTGAATTTTCTTCAATTTACAGCGAGTTCTGGATGTTGCAGAGCTGCTGTCTGAATAAGTAACTTTTTTAATGATCACACTGGTTCTTCCGTGTTTGACAGAAACATCTTTCTACCTGGAACATTCATTATGTTCCAGGTAGAAATCTAGCTGAGTCTAATGTGTTTTTAATGTATGTAATGTACTGTTTTATATTGTTTTACCGATTGATGTTCTTGTATTCTTCTTTTATTATATTGTACAGTGTCTTTGAGTAT